TAAAAGTGCTAAATTAAAACAAACTAATATGTCTCTCTCTCTATAGACTCTCAACAGAGTCCACCGTCTACACCAATTCCAAGTCACCACTTCAGATCTGTCAATGTTGGTGCTGGTTAATTCAATTATTTTTTGAATTGTTCAGTTGCAGGATATTCTTCGGTGGCTTTTGGCCCGAACGATCTGGTTTGCTGTCGAACCTTACAAGGTCACACATGAAAGGTAGAGAAAGGGATGTCGACTGCGCCGCGACGGTAGAGGGATGCCAGTCGCCGACAGCAACAGTACACCTTGCTTTGCTCGTCGGTCGAGGCTGGTAATAGGGTAACGAAGAGAGGTGATCGACGAGAGGGAGGAGTTGTAGAGAGAGAAACGTTCGGAAGAGGAGAGCTGCAACGACGAGCGACTGCGGTTCAGTGGTGAGACGAAGAGAGAGTGACAGATGAGTGAGAGACGGAGAGAGGGTAACGTGATTTAGGATTTGAAAATAAATTTAGTGGTGGGGGTGGATGTATATGTAGTAATTTTTATAATATTATTAATAATATTTAATTAAATATAAAAAATATGTATCTCTATATAAAATATCTGATTTTTAAACATTAAAACTTGAAATCTGATTTTTGAATTTGTATTTTAAAAAGTAGGGCTCCATGTAATTACCACTTTATACTTTTATCAGGTTATTTTTAAAAATTAATTTCTAGTAATTTTAATTATTTTTGGTACAATATCAAGTATAAAGTATGTTCACGCATAACACAATTTTTTCACTCATGGTAACCGAAAAAGTAAAAATTTAATTTTCAGCGAACCCAAAAATTCGTGAATAGAGTTGAATCTAAAAATATAATTCTATATCATAATGCTATTTTCATTATGTGTAGTTTTATATTTGCAATTCAATCTACTTATACATTATGTGGGGTTGAACGTGATATAAGGCACGTAATTCGTTATATTGCAAGTGTTGTATTATGAATATCACATATAATCTTGCTATGATGTCAGAGAATGTTTGACATTCTACCTAACAAACCCCTCACAATGGGGGGAGCATAATTTTTTTAGCATTTTTTTATTTATATGGGTCTCACTCCTATGTGAGTATATATCAACAAGGATGTCATGTTCTTTCTGACAAAACAGCATAATTCATACCACATATGGTGGCTTGACAAGTGATGCTTGAAGTCATATGAGGTCAAGATCGCTTCTAGAAGTTCTCTATAATGCAAACATTAGCACATGGCATCAACGACGGTAAGAAAAAGGGAGAATACAATTCAATCAAGCAAAGCATATATATGAAACCTCACAAGATCTTTCGGGCCAACCCTGATATTTTGGGGACCTTATACCAACTTTAAATATGGGGGCTTCGATGAATATTAAGCCCGTGTTTGATAAAGATTAAAAATGATTTTTAGCAGATTTTAATAAAAGTTGATGGAATGTATGATTGAAAAATTAGGTATCTTATAAAATGTGTGATTAAAATCAATTGTTGACTTTGATTAGAAAACAATTAAATAAAATGGAAAAAAATAATAATTAAACATAATCAGGAAAATTGAAAGATAACATGCAAAATTTAAACTCTAGTGTGAATATAAATATGGAGAAAAAAAAGAATAATAAGTTAATCAAGAAAACCCCTAACCAAATTACATAACGCGTAGAGAAGCATTGGTTTAATTATAGCATCATTAATAGAATGACACTTAAAAACTGAAAAAAAAAAAGGATAAATAAAACAAAATGTAAGAATACGGAGAGAGAGAAACAAATATGAGTACATTTAGCAGCAGCTCCTTGAATGAGTTTAAGACTCACCATGAAAGCATTAGAAAAAATAATGGTCGTAAATCTGGAAAAGAGAAAAGTGACATCTAAGAAAAAAATGATGGTTGGTAAGATAAATGATCAAATTATATATAGAGAAAGTAATGACTTTGATATATTTATGTAATAAGTTTTATGTCATTTATATAATTTTTTAAAAAGATATATGTATTTCCAAATTTTATTAGTTTCTTGTGTTTGCATATGATAATTTTTTTTTTTTCCAACCAATCAATTAATTTTACATAATTTGGGGCCCTCATCAAAATCGGACCTTAGGCAATTGTCTACGCCGCCTATAGTTAGGGCAGTTCCTGTGGATCTCCAAAGGACATGTCCAAAGAAGATGTTTTTCTAACGAAAATCTTGATGAAACTTTTGGAACGGAAAAAAAAAAAAAAAATACATAAAAAAAGAGCTTGCTAAAATAGAAAAAAAAGGAAATTGTACAATCATTGACTTCCATCAATTTCTTTTTCTAATTCTGTGGAGACAATATTGTAATCCTTCAATTAACGGAATAAAATCATATGACCCCTTAAAGACTCCAATCTCTATAAACACT